TCTTGGAGTCATTTCATATTCTTATGAGCCGTTAAATGCCTCTTTCAATCTATGGTGAGGGTGATACTGACTAAGAAACCTTCTATGACCAAGGTATACCGTCTTCCTGCCATGTTTAAGTTGCATATAGTGGGTGCCTTCTTCACATATTGGACATGCTTTATGCCCCTTAACACTGTATCTTGACGAATTTCCATATGCCAGAAAGTCATTTATCATGGTAAAGATCATGGCACGTAAATTGAAAGTCTCTTATTTATATGCATCAAACACATCAACATCTTCCTTCCATAATTTCTTCAAATCCTCAATCAAAGGTGTCGAATACACATCGATATCGTTTCTTGGCTATTTTAGCCTTGAGATCCTCAAAGATAGCACGATACACTTTCTTTACATACATAACCAAGGAGGCAGGTTGTAAATTACGAGGAGCATTGGCCAAGCACTGTATGTGCTACTAAGATTACCATATGTGTTAATTCCGTCCGTACAAAGCCCTAGCTAAAGGTTTTTTGGTTCGCCACCAAATTGAGAAAATTTTTGATCTATTGGTTTCTATTGAGGAGAATTTGCTGGGTGACGAAGCTTTCTATCACATATTTTCTCATCGAAATGCCATCTTAAGTTCTTTGCATCTATGGCATTAGCAAATAAACGCTTAAATCATGGTATTATTAGAAGATACCATGGAACCTTCAAAGGAGAACCTTTGGTCATCTCATTATAATCACCATCATCTTTCTTAATGTTGTATCTTGAAGTCCCACATTTAGGGTACTTATTCAACCCTTCATAATCATTTTTGAATAATATGTAGTCATTAGAACACGCATGTATCTTCTCATATTCCAAACCTATCGGACACAAAATTTTCTTTGCCTCGTACATCTGTTTCGGAAGTGAATTCCCTTTTGGAAGCATATCACTTAGCAGTTCAAGCAATTCCGTGAAACTAACATCGGTCCAACCATTTCTTGCCTTCAAGTTCATCAGTTTTAACACGATTGTCAACCTTGTGTAATCATCTTTGCACCTTGGGTATAAAGGCATCTCTGCATCACTACACAAAGTTTCAAAAGTGGGAGAAAACTGTGTAAAAAAATCAGACATTATATCACGAAACATATTTGAAATTCTATCACCAAAGTCTTCATTCACAAGCTTCTCCTTTGCAGACAGTATAGTCTTCTTAATTTCTCCATGCCATATCCAATTTGTATATCTCAAATTCATCCCATCACAGATAAGATGCTCTTTTATCTCAGGAATAGTTCGTCGACTATTGTTTAAACATTTGACACAAGGACAATAATACAATCCATCTCTTTTACTAGGGGCATTTCTCTGAACAAACTCAAGAAACATTTCAACCCCATCCTCATATTCTTTGCTGATTCTCTTAGCTTTTATCCAACTACGATTCATTGTTCTACATGGTCAATGAACATAGTTGTCAAGGTCAATTTTAATTCCTTAATTCAAATATTGAAATAATACAATCATTAAATGTTAGTCAATAAATTAAAATTTACTAATATTTAATTACAAATTAAAGGAAATGTCTCTTTTTTTTAAAAAAAAATTGACAAAATTTCCCTTTAACAACTATGTACAAATTAAACACCGAATTAGAAAAAAAACCTCAAAATTTTTAATCAAAATTAAAATTTTCTCAGCCCCTATTTATCTTATTAAATATATTATAATAAAAAAGTTAAATATATAATTATTTTTAAAAATTAGATTAAGTAATTTCTTAAAACTTAGTATATATAGTGAATGAACGAAATGTTAATAAAATAAAAAATAAACAAACATATATAAGTTTTGTGAAATAGTTAAACAAAAATTATTTTAATCAACAAAAAATATTCTTTATAACATATTTCAACATGATAAATTTGAAGAAATATAACAAATAAAACAAAAACAAAAATTCAATTTCAAACTAATTCAATGAATAAAGATTTTAAAGCTAAAATTTCTAAATCCAAAAAGGGAACACAAATGATATCCATTTGTAATGAAATTTTAAACAACACTTTACCATCAATCAAAGTTCATAACAAAAAAAAATCATAAAATACCAAACAGATTATTTATTACTAAATTCTCAAATTTATTACAAAAAAATACTAAAAATTCAAAATAAATATAAAAAAAATTATAAAAAAATCAAAAATTTTAAAACTAATCAACTTCAAACATTTAAACATGTTTCTAATATAGTATATAGGTAGGAATTGAGCTTTTCTCACACCAAATACCCACCAATCAATGGTTCAAGCACAAAAAATGCAAAATCAACAATACAAGCCAATCGCAATGTAAAACTAACAAATTCATTTGAAATATAATAGATTTTTATAGTCAAACATTCAAGAAGCCAAGAAAAATTGAAAAGTATGAAAGAAGAAGATACTCACAGAGCAGAGATGATTCAAATGCGAAAAGAGGGGTGTTTAAACGGTGACGGACGGCAGCAAGACACCACAAGCTAAATGGAGGAGTTTAAATGGTGGGGGAGTTGGGGGGGAATGGCTGGTAATGGAAGTTTTTTGGTGGTGGGACAGAGGGAGATCACGGCGCACTGAAACGAAAGTAAAAAGGAGAGAAAACAAATGCACCATGTAGGGTTATTTTAAAACTTTCCACAGTAGTTATTAAAAAAACCACGTGGAAATCATTTTTAATGGCATTTATTTCAATAATCGCTGTTAAAAATGTTTTCCACGACAGTTTTCTTAATAACCGCCGTAGAGAATCAACACTTAATCAACTTATTTACAAAAATAACACCGTCTTTTTTTTCACGTCATTTTTCTGATTAACTGCCTTTATTTGATGACGTTAAAAGTCTTTTTTTCTAGTAGTGTATATATAATATATATTAAGGATAAGTGGGACTATTAGTTTATTTTAAAACGATGATGCCTGCCAGCGTGTGGTCCATGTTGTCAATGAGGCTTTTTGTTATTTTAAAAATAAAAAATAAAATTTGATGTATATTGTTTATCCAGGTGGGAAATTTGATTTTGTTTTGATAATTTCATTTATTCTAGACCTAGTATCATTTTTCATATTTGTTTAGAAAAATATTATTTCCAAACTCTTTAACAAATCTCCCTAACATTCCTCAAACGGGGAGAATATAGATTAATAGTAAACTTTTAAATAATTTTATTGAGATTGCATGCTAATTTCTTATTCTTTATTCTAAATATAAATATTCGGTTTAATTCTTGCTGCTTTTATGAATAACATAATTACAATTTATTTCATGTATTCTTTTTATTTTTTGTTTGTTTATATTATCTAGCCTCAATATTGCACATATTTATCTTATATTTTATTTTATTTTATTTTTATTATAATATTATTTTTTAAGTAGATACAACCTCGAGTGCTTAATATAAAAATTAGTTTAATTTTTATTTTGTTCTTAAATATAAAAATTTAATATATTTTGTTTTTCAAATTTATCTATTTTTTCAAAATAGTCCTGTTAAAAATTTCGTTAAATGATAATTCTAGTTAATACACATTATTAGTAAAGGTATTCTAGGAAAAACAATACATATTTATTACAAATAATTAACTTAACAAACTTTCTTAATCTACTCGAATTAGTTAATTAGCTCTTATATTAAGGAGTGACAGTAATATTTGAAATGATAATACTCCCTCTCATCTCTTTTTTTTGGTTAAACAATACCCCTTTGGCTCTCATCTTTAACTTATGTAATATATTCTAGGAAAGAAAAAAACCTATTTATTACAAATAACTAATTTAATATATTTTTTCAACCTATTTATTACAAATAACTAATTTAATATATTTTTTCAATCTATTTAAATTAGTCAACTAGTTCTTATATTAAAGACCGGAGATAATATTTGGAATGATAATACTCCCTCTCATCTCTTTTTTTTGTTAAACAATGCCCCATTGGCTCTCATCTTTAATTTAACATAAAAACTACCTAACTAATTTTAATATTTTAAGAACTTCAAAAAAATCAATTTAATTATAACTTATGTGACATAATCTCTCCTTGATAACATTAAATTATATATTAGTTTATAAATTAGATAAATTCATTTAAAAAGAAATTATAAATATAGAAAATAAAGTGGATTTCAATATCATATTTAGGAGTAAACTCTCAAGCTAGCTCCTATACGAGAGACCAGAAGGTGTAGTTATATTAGTACTACTTCCAATTTGCAAATATTAAAGAATTACATATATTAGCTATTTGTAACAAATAAATCTTGTTTTTCACAAAATATCCTTATTAATCCTGTTAGTTCTAGAGTATTTTATGATAATTTAGAGAAGACAATATTTATTTATCATAAATAACTAAATATTCTTTTTAAATACTCCTCCGGTCCTTAATATAGGACCCAATTATTGAGTTGGTTTTGGTTCTAAATATAAGACCCATTTCTCATATTTATCAATAATCCCTAAATTACCCTTATGGATACTCTCCTCAACTATAATCAAGTAGAAGAAGGAGAGGGGGTATTGAGAAAGATGATTATGGTGTTTTAGGAAAAACGTGTCATATTTATTACAATTAACTAACTTACCTAACTTCATTAATCTAATCAAATTAGTTAAATGGGTTTTATATTAAGGACCGGAGGAGTAATATTCACGGATTAGTTACTAGCTAGTACTAACAAAACAGCTTCAACTTTCACCCGGGGGGGGATCTTTCAACGAGGAACATGTTGAGCAGGGTACCAAAAACGTGGTTCGCATTTCCTTGATGGACCAATCCCTTTTGTTCTTTTGCATTTCCTTGATGGACCAATCCCTTTTGTCCTTTTGCATTTCCTTGATGGACCAATCCCTTTTGTTCTTTTGTATTTCCTTGATGGACCAATCCCTTTTGTTCTTTTGCACCTCTGAATAATCCAGGACTTAGAGAAAGCTCAAGTGTTATATATCCATAACAATACCTTCCTTCATTCCTTGCAGAACAATGATGATTATCTCTAGTATGCTTCTTGTCTTTGTCACAGTCTTGTTCATGTTGTTACTGATAAGACAGTTTAGAAAATGTGGTTCTTCACCAGATCATCATCATCAGAAGCTTCCTCCCGGCCCGGCGAGGCTGCCTATTATCGGCCACCTTCACTTGATCAACGATTTGCCTCACCGGACGTTTCAGAAGCTCTCAGCTCAACATGGATCTCTCATGTACTTGCAGTTAGGTTGTATACCTACTTTGGTAGTGTCATCCTCGGACATGGCCAGAGACATTTTTAAGAATCATGATCTTGTTTTCTCGGGTAGGCCTGTGTTATATGCTGCTAAACGCCTCACTTATAACTGTTCAACCTTGAGTTTTGCTCCTTATGGTGATTACTGGAGGCAGATGAGGAAGATTGTAATGTTGGAGCTTTTGAGTTCCCGGAGGGTTCGAGGTTTTCAAGCCATACGGTCTCGAGAGCTTAAGGTTTTTCTTGATTCTATAGCTGTCACTTCAGCTAATTCAAGCTCTGTGAACTTAAGTGAAATGACACTTTTGTTGAGCAACAAAATTGTGTCTAAGATTGCTTTTGGTAAGAAAATGCACGAGGATGATGATAAAAACATAGGCAAGTTCCATGAAATGCTTAGAGAAACACAGGAACTGTTGGGAGGATTTTGTGTTGCAGATTTCTTTCCTTGGTTGGGATGGATCAACAAGTTCAATGGCCTTGATCGAAGGATACAGAAGAACTTGAGGGAATTAGATGACTTCTTTAACACAGTGATTAATGAGCATAGAGATTCATCAAGTTATAATAATAAGCATGAAGAACAGGAGGAGGATGAAGATCTTGTTGATGTGCTTGTTCGACTTCAGAAGGATTTGAATCAGCCAATTTCCATCACCGACGGCCAAATAAAGGGCGTGCTAATGGTAATTATATGTTATTTCTTAGCAAACTAGAGAAAGTAAACAAATGATGAGTTCTATTGTTTGTACATGTAGGGACCCCATGGATAGGAACCTCACATTTCACCTATCTTCATAGTTTAGTGTCTCTCTGCCTTGAAGTGTGCGGAAGGGAATCTCTTGTCAAAATAGAGTAAAATGACATCATTTTGTCTTCTTTTGAAATAAAAGGAAAAACCCTTATTTCATTTATTAAATATGAATATTTTTAATTAAATCATATTATTTATAATTAGTTTGACCCTCCAATTTGACCTACTCTTGAGCTACTATCTCAACTAATTCATTGTCTAGTTCAATTATCAATACCTTAACTTCCACCTATTATCCTATCTTAGTGCCCTTCTCTACTTTTACCTTGAAGTACCTAAGGGAATTTCTTACTCTCAAAGCTAATGTGTATGTTAAAATATGTCTTTTAATTATGGAGTAAGAAGAGTGAACTTTCTTGGTGGGTTATATGCAGGACATCTTTGTGGCAGGCACAGACACATCTTCAGCTACACTGGTATGGATAATGGCTGAACTAATTAGGAACCCAGATTCAATGAAGAAAGCACAAGAGGAAGTGAGAAAAGTTGCTAAAAGAAAACAAATGGTAGAAGAGGAAGATCTTGGAAGTCTCAAGTACCTCAAATCAGTAGTAAAAGAGACATTGAGGCTACATCCACCAGCACCATTACTAGTACCAAGAGAAACCAGAGACGTTTGTAGGATCAAAGGGTTTGAGATTCCAGCGAAAACTCGAGTTTTTGTGAATGCAAAATCTATAGGGACAGAAGCAAAAGAATGGCAGAATCCAGAAGAATTTAAACCAGAGAGGTTTCCAAAAAGTTCGGTGGATTGTGGCTACGGGGGACAATTTGAGATGCTTCCATTTGGGGCTGGAAGAAGAGGGTGTCCAGGAATCAATTTTGCTATGCCCATGGTGGAACTTGCACTCGCAAATCTTTTGCACCTATTTGATTGGAAACTTCCAAGTGGGATGAAAAGTGAAGAACTTGACATGGAAGAAGCATTTGGCATTACAATGCACAAGAAATCTCATCTTTGCGTAATACCTTGTCCTCCATATTAATTTATTGTTTTTTTTCTTGTTTACCTATTTTTAAAGTGTTGTGTCACAAAAAAAGAAATAAATCCGTAATATTTGGATTTTTCTTCCTATATGTCAATGGCAATATAATCTCCTAAATTTTACTCTTTTCTAATAGACTGTTCTCTTAAAATTTTGAATTTAAATTGTCTGTAAACACCTCTCTAAACTACAAATAAAAACCTTTTAAAATATTATATTATATTATAGAAAATTCCATGTACGAGATTAAAAATAAAAAGGAATTTATTTACTATTACATCACTAAAAAAAATAAAAAAGTTTATAACTTAAAAAGGCAGCTTAAACTATTTCATTTCCCAGTGATATAAAAACCTCAAAAAACGGATATAAATGTAAAATGATGGCTGTGATCGAGTGTGTGTATATATAATAAGACAAAAAGGCACATTTGATTTTTTTGAAATAAAAAATTATATTATAAAAATAATTATCTTCTCAATCATCTAGTCCTGGGGCACTGGGTCTCAAATAATATTTTTTTGACAATAATTATAATTTGAAAATTAAACTTTTTAATATTTTAGCATTTAAAAATATTTTGAACACGTTCGGTATGCTGAAAATCTAGTTCCGGAAAAGGAAAATCAAGATTTTCCAGAGGCTTGGTTGGTATGTTTGGTTGGACAATTTTTGGAGAAGAGATTTTCTGGCAGTGGATAGTTTTCATCCGCATAAAGGAAAATTAGTTCCCACCGTTTTTGGTGGGAATCCATTTTCTAATGCAGGTAGGCAAATACGAAAGACATATCTGCCCTCAAAACGTATGCCATTGCTCTCTTCTTCTTCTCCTTCATCTACTGCTTCTTCCTCTCTTCTCATCTTTTTTTTTTCCCTTCCTTTTCATCTCCTTTTCTTTCTTCATTTTCATATCCGTCACTTCTTGTCACTCTTTGATTCATTAAAAGCAAAAAAAAAAATGCTATAAAGATGAGCCCATTATCCTCAATAGATAAACAAAATATTTCTTTACTTAAAAACAAAAAAAAATTCTTCCAATGGGTGCGGAGAAAAAGCATTTTGCAACTTCTTCAAGAGGCAAACATATATACCTAGAAATGCATTGATAAAAGTGCAACAACATCACTCAAGCTTGATCCCATGAGCCCTTTAGCTCATTCATCAAATTTAGAATTTGCTAATGTTCATGGCCTATATGCAAATATCTTTGAAGTGAAACTTGTTATATGTAAAAGTAGGCTCAATAGGCTTTTTGATAACGTCTACCTCATAAAAATGTTTTCATATGAAATATATATGATTTTTCAAAAGGAAAATGACCAGAAAATAATAACTGAAATTGAAAAGGACAAAAAAATCATACAAATAAATAAAATGACGAGAAAAACATGAGGTATAAATCCAGAATACTCAAATTTTGGTAGAAAGACTAAAATGCTGTTTAAACGTTTTGAAAAGGAAAGTGTTCATTGCCCTAATTCTTTCAAATTTCTCACTTGCCCAAACTCATCTTCTCCAAAAGTTGCCAAAGTCATCGTCACATCAGAACTACAAAGCTATTGATCTCCTAACTTTTCCACTCACCCAAACTACAAAGCCCTCATTATCCCAAGTCATTGACTCACCAAACTACAAAGCCGTTGTTCTCTGAAGTCGTCCACTTTCATTGCCACCGTTGAGGATAGTTTTAGTGAGAAATGTGCATAGCATCTATGAGAAGCTTCACCTATTGAGCCATCATCATGAAAAAGGGTAACTTTATTTGTTCCTAGTTTTTTTAAATGTTGTTCATAGTAAGCGCATGACTTATGCATCTCTTTGAAGTTTATTACTTTCAATTGTTTTATTATTTTTAATGTAATAAAATAAGGAACCTATCTTCTAATTTTATGGGATTTTCTTATGACTTCTTGTCTCTATAATGGGGTTCATTGTTGATTGGCTTTCTACTATCTTCTAATGAAATTTGTTCTTAAAGTTTGCTATCTTGTTAGTCTACATTTTTTGCTTTGTTATGATAATTCAAGAATGAGTAATAAATTTCATTACTTGAGTAGCAAATTTCATTACTTAAGTAGTAAATAGTCCTGGTTAGTTTGTGGTGAAATGAAAACACTTGGAATGTGAATGACCATATTTGTATTAATAATTTCCTGTAAAGCCAAAAACATTGACTTGTTATTGGAATTGAATTCATTTGGTAATGGAACTTACCAGATTTATTATGTTAATGACTACATTGTTGTGAAACAAATTAAGTTAAGTAGGTTAAGGAATTTACTACATTTCTTAATAGAATTGACTACATTTCTTTTGATAATGACTAAATTATTGTGAAGGAAATATAGCATAGTATATGACTTTGAGGTTGTGTTTTTTGCAAAAAGGAAAAACAGTATTAGAAAGAGAGCTAAGTGAAGAAATGAAGAATGTGGCCATGTTGTTTTGAAAAAAATTTCTTGAGTTGGGAAATGCATTTATACAGACAAATGTAATGTCCAACTATTATTATGATATTGACTTACGATTATAAATAGAATTTATGTACAGAAACAAATTGAATCGTCATTATTACATAGTTATTGATAACATGTGCTAATTATGTTTACCTTTGGGTGTCATGTAATGAAGGTAGCTTTTGACAACATTTGCCAAATGATTGATAACTTTTGAAATGAATATAACAATTTCCATAATGTCGTTACAACCTCTTTATTTGCAACCATTTCTAAACTATTTGCATACAATTTTACTAAACATGTAACGAGAATAACAACTTGTGAAATTAGAATAACCATTTGTATAAAGAGTTTTGCAACCTGTTTTAAGCCATTTGCAGACAGTTTTACAGAACAATTAATGTGAATGACAACTTGTGTAATGAAAATTACCATTTGCATTATGGGATTTGCAACATGTTTATTTGCAACAATTTTTAATCATTTGGCACACAATTTTACTAAATAAGTAACGAAAATAATAACTTGAGAAATGAAAGTGACCATTGTGTAACAAATTTTGCAACCTATTTTGTGTTTAAGCCATTTGTAGACAATTTTAGAAAACAAGTAATAGGAATGAATCCTTACATAATGAAATTTACTATTTGTGTTAAGAGATTTGCAATCATTTTTAATCCATTTGCACATAATTTTATTAAATATATAACAGGAGTAACAACTTGCAAAATAAAAGTGACTATTTGCATAATGAGTTTTGCAACCTTTTTTAATCAATATGTTCGTATGTGAAAACCCTCGCCTGCTTGTTTCTTTTCACTTTAGGGGCATTTTAGTCATTCCACCAAAACTTACAAATCTCAAATTTATATTTCATGTCCATTTGGTCATTTTACTTATTTGGATGAACTTTGTCTTTTCCAATTTCAATGAGTATTTTTTGGTCATTTTCCCTTGATCATAACTTTAAAATTACAAAGTGCCTTTGAATGAGTCTTATTACATTAAAAACTAGACTTAGAAAGCTTTTCAATGGTAGGTCTTTTGCCCAATTTGAATTTAAATTGAGAAAGTTATATTTAATTAAAAGTTGCTCTATTTAAAACGTCAAAAATAGAGTGTAATAGAGACTAATAAATTTAAATTTTGTGCGAAAAGTTGAAATTTATATGCATAAATTAATATTTTTTGATACAAATTCTACTTTAATAAACCCATGGTTAAACTTTAAGCTACAAGAAAGAAATGAGTATGTTCGAATTTAATACAGGCAAAGTTTAATTTGATGCATCAAATTCAAGTTTTCTTAAATAGATTCAAATTTGATGTAAGAAAATTTAGATTTTCTACGTCAAATTCAAATTTGTTTGCTCTTTTTCTTGTCATATTAAGGTTTAAATTTCATCAAATATGACTTCATCAATCTAAATGTAAATGAGGTAAATGACTTATCATTGAAGAGTTATTTAAATCTAGTTTCTGAAAAAACAAAACTGAATAAAAAGTTTTTTAATATTTATAAGGATATGATCAAAATTGTGAACAAAGGTTATAAACGTTTTAGCTTTGACTTTTGATTAATATTGTTATAATATCTCACAAACTATAAATACTTTTAAAATGAAACTTGTTTGATATAAATATAGACTATTTAAATAATTTAATTTTGCAATGTTATTGTGTTTTTAGAAATCGTTTGTGACTTTTGATCACTATCTTGAAAATAAATTTCAAAATATAAAGAGTTTTTTTTTGGTAAATGGTTAAAAGTAAACTAAACAGCTAAGTCTGACGACATAAAACCAGCAACAAAATCAGGAGCAGAAGCAAGAAAACTTATTACGTCCACAACACCCAGTGCCCTCTTTGCCATAGCATCAGCAGCCAAATTAGCGTCCCTGCTACACCAGACCACACTAGCATCCCAATCCTTATCGAGCCATAACTGAACCTCTTGAATCAAGTCGCGATCTGGATGTTCATCATGCAAACCAGAAGCAAGAAGCTCTACCAAGGCCCTACAACTGGTCTCAATAATAACCGGTGCCACTTCATGTCCCAAGCCCTCTTGAGAGCCCAAATAACCGCCCATAACTCTGCTTGGAAGGTGCTAACTGTTCCAATATTGAAAAGAAAACCATCCAGCCATCTCCCAACATGATCCCACGCCAAACCTCCACATACAAAATTCTTCGTGTCCCTCACACAAGCACCATCGACATTGTATTTTATACAACCTACGAATGGAGCTTGCCATATACTAAGTGGCCACTGGGAACCCGAACTCTCAGTCAAGGACCTACTCGAATAGGCCACTATAGCTGGCGCTTGGGCCACTGCTTGAATATTTCCCCTTGCTTTGTGTTGAAACATACTCTTATTACGATTCAACCAAATTTGTCACGCTAACACAGTGAACCACAGACCCCACCGTACTCTCATAAGTCTGTACTAAGCACTGATATTCCAGTTAATCCACTCAGTCAGCTCTACGAATTCAAAAAATCTGTGATGAAGATGCACTGGTAAAGTCTCGCGCCA